AAACAGCATGCAATATTCGCCTCGTGCCTCCACCCATCCAAAAATGAAAAAAAAATCTCTAATGGATCAAGAGCTGCTACGGATGCATGAAGACATTCTCGACTGATTTCAATGAAAGGAATTTTCTACGAATGCCATTCATCAGAGACGGCCTGGATAGGAGTGTGCTTGAGGCATTTGACATGGAACGATGCCTAGATGAAGAATGGAGACGGCAGAAAGTCGGGTAAATTTGGAAGCTAAACTCTGGTTGGAAAAATGCCGGATGGCCCCAAGAACCGCGTCGTGTTTTACGCTTGACGAAGCTCGATGTTTACGATACAAGCACGTGATGTTTCAATCTTCTCACTTTGGAAACACCGCGAAGTGGTGCTACTTTCGCTGTCTTGCTGTGTGTGCATGCCATTCGTCGGCTCGCCGGAACGCGATTGGGAAGCGAACGCCGATATTCTCCAGGTCGAATTCGGCCGACATTAGAAATAATTTTCGTCCCATGTTTCTGCCAGTAATTGCATTCATTTGCACTGGCCACGAACCGGTTCCTGAATTTTGTTGGAATATACCGGGAGAACGAAGTATTCTTTTTGGATGATTCACACCCAAAATGAAATCCCGCGATGGAGAGTCGGGAACTCCCTCGGGAAGATCGGGTCCAAACGGGCCAAAATCCAGAAAATTGTTCCTGGAGGAGGCGTTTCTGTGTGCCTTGTGACTGCCTTGTGTCCGCCTTCCCATCGCGTGGCATATTAAATACCGTCTGGTGTCAGACACCGAGTCTCCTTTCGTGCATTCTCCTCGATGTAATCGCAAGGGCGGTGCTCTCGGACGTCATGAGAATCGTAGGGGTGAGGGGGGCAAATAGAGGGGGGGGGGGGGGGGGCTTCAAATGTGAACTCTTGGTTCTTGTCTTTTCGACGGCAGCGCTAATAGCCAAAGTAAGGTACTTGGTACATTAACATTGCACTTCGACATGAAGTGCGATTCATGTATGATCCGGGCCATCCTCAGGAAACCTTAAAAATCATTTGAGAAAGAACCATTAAGAGTCATATTAAATTGATGAAGGCGCTTAAATTTGGCGCATTGAAACGTAATGCGATAATAACGTCACATCGAATGAGATATGCGATACGAAGTGGACACGTCTGGTCGATGCCGCCATCCGCCAGGGCTTTCAGAGAGATGCGAACCAAAACGGCGGGTGAATGGATCCCGAGGAGGAGCTTGAAGGCCTCTGGATGAGGTTCCACGCGAAACGCGAAGCGGGTCTCATGATGGATAAGCGTTGCACGTCCTCGGGGAAATGGTTCGTGAAATTTTGAATGGATCTCTGATTGGCCTGACGTTCATTTTTCGATAGATGTCTGAAGGTCAAGGATGTTTGGCTTTTTTTTTTGCCTGGTTAATCGAGAATTGAACTTCTTTTGAAAAAAAAATGCATTGGGGTGACCAGAAGGCAGTCTGTCAGTTTGGCCTAGTCCTTTAGGAAATAGAGGTGGAGTTGAAGAAAGGTTTGAAATTTAGTTTCACAATACTTCATACAAAGTTGATTTCACCCCATTCGCATAGTGACATTGCCTGAGTTGGGGAGGCAGGAGGGCTAGAAATTCAATATAAACTCAGCGGAATTTCGCTTGTCAGATCCGGTGGTAACCAAGATTAAAGGGCGCGTGATCCGTGCACCTCCCTTCGCTGTGTTATCTCCGCCATCCGGCTTGGACATGGGCTTCATCGGGGAAATGATGCGTTTACTGATACCTGCTTTTTCAAAAATTAGTTCGTTTGTTTTTTACAGCCTCGGGGAAGAACAGTTTTTATTTTCTTTGGATGACTCTGGTCGAAGGCCACAGAGAGGTCTCAACTATTTGTTCCCGCGAGAATCTCAAAGGGAACTACGCAACGACGGTTATCTGAAAGGGGGAGACGATTAAGTACGGTTGAAGCCGACAGGCTATGAATACTCCATTGCCGGATGAACATTTTGTGGTGGTGTAATTTGCTCTTAAGCGGAGAAGCTGGGTTTCCCAGCATTGCGCATAGCACCAACATTGCACGAAGGCAAATACGCTTTATTGCGCCTATTACGCCCATTTACACCATAACAAAGAGTTGGTTAAGGTAAAGTACCAAGTAATGCCATTCCACGGGCCCCGAAACCATTCCGGTCTCTTATTCGTTGTTATGGTAAGACCTTTCATCATCTCTGGCAAGGTTAGTGGACCTCATTTTTTTCTCCCCAGTTCGTTGTCAAGGGCCACGCATAGAAAGACTGCGACTCGCTTGATCTGTTTTCATCCTGTCTTCTGTGAGGTTGGTTAGTTTGGGCTTACAGCGAAAAGCACTGGCGAAACAGGTCGAGTGTCCAGCGATCAGGTCATTCACTTACTTCTTAGGGGAATACGGGGCATAAGGTTTTCTGTCCCAACCAAAACGGGCACTCTCGCCCTGAATTCAACGTGGCCACCCTATGTCGAACGTGTGCGCGCACGCCACTTTGCATATTGTAGGATATGCGCGCATGCTTGCATATCCTACGACACACACTTCTTCACATTGAAATTGCCACTTTTTTCTCAGCATTCTCAGCTGAAATATGCATTAACCCAATCTACTCATCGAGAGCTTGCGAATGATATATCACATGCACCATCGAAGAGTGATCCACTTCGGATGTCATGATTAATTGTTAATTGTTAATAAGGAAAATTCAATTAGCAATCAGATGTGAAGGGCATCGTTGAGATCTAAGAGACTGCCTAGTCTGATCCAGGAGAGAGGACTAAAAAAGTAGCATCAAGAAAATAAACTAATTAACTTTTAAATTAATCAATCAACACATTATATTTTTATGCAAGTTTTCTGATCCCGACTGTCAATATGAGACCACTTTCACCTTCACACGATTTCTCCTTCATGGTCTGGTGATTCGGTAAACTGCGAAATATGAATGCATATGGGCGCATTTGGAGTAATTAAGCGTATTTGCCTTCGTGGTTTGGTGTTGCAATACGTAAACCTAGCTTCTAAGCTTAAGAGCCTACGATATTACCCTAATAAGTTTATCAGGCGATAGATTATTCATTGCCTATCGCCTTGAATCACTAGGTGTTTCCACGCCTTCGATTATACATTATCGCCTTCCCTGTTCAGATACCCGTCGCATCGAAAATTTGATGCGTTTAAAATGCATATTTCACGAATTTCTGAATTTGCTCGGTGTACTTACAAATATACGAGTAATAACTTCTTGCCACTGTCGATGTCAAAACTTCCTTTTAAGCGCTCTTCTTGGAAAGTTTATTTTTCACGAATTTTCTAGGGTCGAGTTCGATGCATTGTCCTTCCGATATGATATATATGAATTAATTCATCATGTTGGAAGAGCAAAATGGCTGTCGGAGAGGATCATGCGGCTGCAAGGAACAACTCTTACTCAACAGTATGGTCATGGATGATGGGTATTTCTCTATTCCGATATTATATATATGAATTAATTCATCATGTTGGAAGAGCAAAATGGCTGTCGGAGAGGATCATGCGGCTGCAAGGAACAACTCTTACTCAACAGTATGGTCATGGATGATGGGTATTTCTCTTTGCTTCAATCAAAAGCAGACACTCTGAGCTTGATCTCCTCTGATTGAGCGTCTCCTCTGAGCACAGCTTTTGGGTGGGTCGCTTTTCCAATTAAATTTTTTTTCTGGCAGCAAAAGGGGAAAAGCATAAGGCTGAAACTGGGTGGCATGGAGTTCCCTGAGTCTACATTTCAAACGGAAAAAAATTTTCGTTAAAACCCATCAGGCCACTTTTTTCAGTCCCATTTTCCTGAAATTTTTTTTTTATTCAACGAAACAGAGATGGACAATTTAAACTTCCCTCAGAAGTACCTATTTTCTGGCTGAGTACATGAAAAATCCAAGTTTTGAAATACGTCCCCTTAGCGTAGGATATAGGAGGAAAGTGTTTAAATTCATACCAGGTTCCTGAAAAGAGGAATTGTACGAAGTAATAATGTTTTTGATGAAGCCCAATCGCCCAAAAATTCTTCATTAGACACTCACTCGACTTTCTCGCTGATTCAGCCCACAACTGTTGCATTCTCGAGGCAAAGGCTCCCCACCCCAAGTACTTTTTTAGAAAGAGACTGAGCCTCCCTCAAATTTACTGCGGAAGACCTTCATGTTCGATTCCAGCATCTGCATAGATGGAGAGTGGGGCTAGTTATTTCGAGGCCTCTGTTGCAACTCGGGTGACCCAATAGTTCGTGGAATCTGCATCGAACTCGACCGTAGAAAATTCGTGATTGATTGAACCAAATGTGGGGAAACCCTCCCCTTTCCCCTGTCCCCCCATCCCCATAGCACAACTCCCCCCCCAAATCATATCGATTGTGGAGGCGAGAGGGTCTTGAATTTTTACGGATCCGCTCTGCTTCACTAAAGTTGCACTGTTCGTGATGTCACGGGGAATCATGGGGAGACCATTCAATCTTCTTGTCTGTCGAACTCACATGAATTAATCTCTGCCCCTTTCCTGCCGCAATAAATTGCAATACGTGTTCCGAATAATGTCGCATTTTGCGATTTGTTCTCAGCTCATCATCAGGTATCGTAAATTCCAGCAGGGGTATTTTTCCCTAAGAGATTCATATCGACTGGCGGCATGGTGATAATAAACCCGTTCCCGTTTCGTAATGACACCTACCCTCAATTCATTACGAGAGTATCTTGAAAAGGAAAGAAGGAATTCCTATTATTCTCTGAGCATAATCATTCGGGTGAATTTAAATTTCCATCTGCATCAGATTGCTGCTAAATCAGGACCTCTTTTTCATCGTTTGCGGACTTCACTCATCTTCTCCCCCCCCCCCTTCTCCCCATCACCACGAATCAGCCACCATCGCTCGAAAACATCGCTAAAAAGAAATGCAAGAATTCGCAAGCAGAAAACCTTTTAATTGCATCACTAGATGATTAGAAAATTTTATTTAGGGAATATTCGGGTGAACCTGCTGGGGAATTTTTGGGAAAGCAGAGTTCTCCTTCCCAACCTTCCCACCACTCCGGGTGCATATTTGGATGATGCTGTGTAGCTGGATTGGTCTTCTCAAGGAGCACAATCGTGGAATAACTCTGGAGTTGTCCAATGCAAACACAAGCAATTAGAACAAACAGGAACAGCAGGGGAAAATTCCATGAAGTAATTTTTTTCTGGTGAAATCAATGGAGGAAGTATCGTTAGACGGTGGATAGAAAAGAGTTCAGATCATATGAAAAGGCTGAAAGTGCAGGAGTTTTTCCCTTTTGAATCTAAAGGTGAAATTGGTCCGAGAAGACCAAATCGAATCCAGCACTTTGAGTATTCTTCAAGGGCGGGCGAATGTAGACGGGTGCAGTTCCGGAATAGTCTACCGGATGGAGTGCAGTCGACTTCGTGCACCATCGTTCCATTTCCAGAGGATCGTTCCCTATCAAGAAAAAGGGGATTCGAATTCAAGAATGATTTCGTTGACGCATGATACACAGGTTAACTTACACGTGATGACTGCCAGTTGCTTCGAACCCATCTTGTCAGGCTGGGGCTTCCTCCAACCATAGATGATGAGGTCCAGCATCCATTCCAACACTTCCAGGACGGAGACGAAGGACAAACCGGTGTAGAGACCCAGCAATCCCCCCAACGTGCCGATGAAGCTCGTCCACTACTCGTGACGAAAATGTTACTGTTACCTATCCACTACAATTACAAAGATCAAGCCTCGAAAAAGGGTATGACTCAACAGTGAACATGGGTGTTTCCACGATTCGCTCCGTCGTCATTGTTTCATAGTAGATGTTCACCACAGCGAGGTTCTCTTTGTCTCTGAGGATAGAATTCGAAAATGTCGCTGGTTCAACGCTACCTGAGTTGACTTGAAGCGGAAATTTAGGAGCTCAATGATCAAGGCGAAAGGAATTAAAATACTTCTAGAAGTTGAAAAATGTAGAATACATGATATCTCGGCAGTAGGTCACGTTTCTCAGCTCGCTCGTGTAGTTAGTTCTCTTGTTCTCGTTTCTCAACCAATCGATGAGATCCATGAGCTCAGCGTTTTCCCAAATCATCGGTGTCGTCGACAACGACCAATCGAACATCTCCTCTCTAAACCAGAAGAACTCGCTTTCTCTCTCCGCCAACCTTTGGGACGTGGACACAAAACTCGGATTGAGACTCACGTGCAGGGCAGGGGGCAACCGCAGGAACTCCCGTTTTGAGCCTCGTCGTTCATCTCCCAAATTGCCAAGGCTTTCGTGACCACTTTTTAATAGAGAGCATTCACAATTTTCAAACAATGAGTTCCTCCCTTTTGTTATTTAGTCGTATAGTATCATTTGGGATCATCACGTATCACTGTTTCTGAAACACTACAACAGGATCCATTAAAATCTGATCACGAATTAATGTGTCTCACCTGACTTATTGCAATATTCTGATTTGTCTACTGTTTTTTGCAGAAGGGGAGACTTCCTGTAGCATTGGGATTCCTTTCCATCCCGAATGGCCTGAAGTTTGCACAGCTTCTGACACAGCTACATCATGCAGCGACGAAAATAGAATGAAATCATTTGGAGTAAGGACAAACGCAAAGCAACTTTAGATATGTGAGACGAAGTTCATCAGAAGCACGAAGTTTCAATGGAGTCTCTAGTACTTGTATTGTTTTTTTAAATTTCCCGTTTATTGAGAGGAAGTATAGACGTTCCATTGTCTGCAGTGTGTCGTATCTGTCTTACGGAATATTCTCAACCACGTTAATTTGTTACGACTTTTCATTTAGATTAATTGAGTTTTCATTGGGGGAATGTCTCTTTTCCTGTAGACTCATGAAAATAAAACAAATGTCGGATGACTTAAGGGCGGAGACCTGTTCTCTGGGACATTGCCGTATATGTTTGGCATTTGCATGCCGGGATATTATAGTGTGATTTTCTTTGAGTTTCAAATTAGGAACAGAACAATTAAAAGATTTCATATTTAAACACATTATGACAATATCGTCCATGGTATGAAATGCCATGGCATCATATCGAGATGAGGGTGGTGTAGCGGATGTTTCCTTAGAAGGAAAACGTGGGAATTTAAATCCTGAAATAAAGTTTCCGATTCCATTGTGATAAAAAAATTGCAATGGGACATGTATGATTCATAAAATGAGAGTTTCTTTTTTTTTTTTAAAGGTGAACCCCTTAGCAATAAGCCTAAAAGATCCTCTGCGATTTTTTAAATATGAAAATCTTATGGGTATTTTATCGGAATGTTTGGAAAATTTGTATGAGATCTAATAGGATTTTTCCATATTGAGATTTCAGACGGTGGATAGAAAAGAGTTCAGATCATATGAAAAGGCTGAAAGTGCAGGAGTTTTTCCCTTTTGAATCTAAAGGTGAAATTGGTCCGAGAAGACCAAATCGAATCCAGCACTTTGAGTATTCTTCGTGAAAACGTGGGAATTTAAATCCTGAAATAAAGTTTCCGATTCCATTGTGATAAAAAAATTGCAATGGGACATGTATGATTTTTAAAATGAGAGTTTCTTTTTTTTTTTAAAGGTTAACCCCTTAGCAATAAGCCTAAAAGATCCTCTGCGATTTTTTAAATATGAAAATCTTATGGGTATTTTATCGGAATGTTTGGAAAATTTGTATGAGATCTAATAGGATTTTTCCATATTGAGATTTCCCCAAATGCATCGAATCTTACTCATTAAAAGAGGCAAAAATGTCCGATTTCATCATAAATAGAACATGAATACTTTCACCTGGAAGGAATACTTGGTTCCATTTCCAATATTGTAAATGCTGCTGTTGAATCGGTCTTCGAGGTAGGAATCGTAGGCGCAACCTCCTCCTTCTTCAGGACGAAGCCGTTCGAATTTCCTCCTCCTCATGCCGATGTAGGAATTGATGTTCGCGCCGACGTCGATTCCCTCTCCGAGGGGATCGGGATCAGCCTTGTGATGGTGAAGGGTCACACGGAACCCTTTGGCTGGTGTGAGGAGATTCACTTGGTTTGAGGTGTTCCACGTCAATCTCAGTTGGAGCCCTTCCTGTTTGATTTCAAGGCCGAGAAAGACATTAAGAATGTTGATCGCTGAAGGTCTTAAGGTTCTGAGAATCTCACCGAAGAGCCAGAACGGCGCACAACTTTATTTCCGTTGTAGTTGTAGGTCAGACACGCTCCGTAGTCAGAGTCGTTGATGACCTTGAAGTCGCTGGAAGTTAGAAAAATTTCCGACTGTATTCTAGAGTTTCTTCTACCTGAAATTTGCATGTTTTCACAGAATAAACTGATCACAGAAACCTGCTTTTCCCCCCTTTCTGCCCGTCTAATCGAATGATTCACTTTCTTAAAAATAATTTCATGCAGGAGTCTGGAGCTTTTCGTGAGATGAACCCAGGTGCATTCCTTTTTGTGCTGTAAAACCTTTACCCTTGTCCAACCCAATGAACATGGAACATGAGACTTTTCCCATTTTGCTTTAAAATGGGAAAGTACTACTATGAGAATGGCTATAACGCTTGGATTAATGGACATGCGACAAGAATGTGACATATATATTTCCAAAAGAAGCTGGAGATGCGCATACTTCATATCACAAGGTGCATTATTGAAGGTGCAGCGACGTATCAAGTCTGAGATGTTGCCAGCAGCATCTTCCAAATTCAAATATCTCCGGAAGTCTCTCAACGTGTAGGAGCTGGTGAAAAGCAACATGTTGAGGAAGTTTTCCGCCGTAATGGTTTTGTTGCCGATGGTTATTTCCCCATCTATAGAGGATAATCTATTATTATTATTGAGTTCTTTCATGTTTCTCTGCCTTGTTTAGACGGCAACGGGATAAGCCATTTCCCTATTAAGTGATCTAAAATAAATATGTTCGTACATTCCGGTTCACATGGATGGTCATATTCCTCTCTGCCGTAGACCCAGTTTTCCCAGATATCGGTCTCATCAAAGGACGTAGACGAGGTGTCGAGCGGTGGCATCGTCGGGGTACCTGGCGATATCGTTGGAGACATAGTTGAGGATATAATTAAACTTCCGGCAGTAGTAGGCGGTGATGTTGCTGAGATTGGTTCTGCGGAATCGAGAGAAATACCATCGTTTGATAATGGACTTGGAGAACTTAATGGAAGGGAATTTCATTGGTCCCCCAGAAGTCTTTGATTGACCTCGAAAGAGTTTATGAATTGAGACAGGCAATTGAAGGGGAGAATTTCTGAAAAAGGCGACGTTTTGCCTCGAAAGAAAAATCCATGCTCCTTATTACTACGGTTTGGTCTGGAGGAACGAGTTTGTCATTGTCGATTGAATTTCACAAGAAAAAACTGTAATCTGCTCCTTATGTCTTCGGGTCTGAAACGAATGCGAAATGGGTTTCTGGAGTCGTGCAAGAAGTAGTTTACATACCAGTAGTCGCTGACTCTGAGTAGTCTGCTGAGAACGAGTTCGATTCTGTTGGGAGTCCATACTCTTCTTTAGATCCTGAGAAATATTTTCAACAGATTCCGTTTTGCCATGAACGTCATAAGAAGGAAGCCGTCAAATACTGCGCTATGTCAAGAGCATCGTAAACCTACGGTTCAGAATATCGAATGGTTTGATGCAGGTCTTCTGCCCTTCGCCCTCGCGCACCGTGCACGGCGGATCGGTGGCGGCCCAGAGTGAACCAGCGGTTGTCGGACTGCATGCGCTACGTGGCAGAGAAAGTTTAGCAAGCGCTCCCTCGAGATGCTTGTTGAGTTCCAGCAGTGTCTTGAAGTTAGAGAGAGTCGGACCGTCATCAAGGCTCTTCCACAGAGGACTGTAGGAACATATGGTGACTGCCGGGAAGGGGAGGACCCTCTCCGTATTCATCTGGAAAAGCAGTTCCTTTCTTAAACTCAACACGTTCTCTTGAGAACGAAGAGGCTCGTGAGCCGTTGAGGTTATATCACCTCCATCGTGGTCGTCTTCGGGCTGGACATGTAACTATTCACGGCATCGATGATTAGGTATAGCATGTGACCTGTTGTGAGGAGGAAGAGGAAGAGCCAGACGAGTCTCCTGAAGCGAGAGGTATCAGTATACACGGAACGCCCTAGACCCTATGAGGAAAAATGACATCAAGTTCGTTTCTAAATTGGAGGCCAGAAGATCACAGCCAGGTTTAGCGTCAGCATCTCCTTTTACACTCGTTGTTCCACCCAACCACAAGAAATCAGTACTTTCCGTTTCCTTTGCATACCTCCGATACTTTTCTGTTTTTCACTGTGTTATCAAAGGAAGAAAATTTTTCTTTCAATTTACTAATTTCAACATAGTATCGCAATATACAAGAGTAACTTCAGAAATATCGTTAATCGTGGGCGCCCAGATACACATACCACCATTAAACGTTTCGCTCCGGGTGCAGAACGCAGCACAACGCAGCAGAACACAGCAAAGCTGACATTCGAGTTCCCAGTGGCGTTCATAGACAAGTTTTCGACACCCATACGTTCCTGCTGACGTCCTATTCGTTAAAAAGAAGGTTTTTAATGAGTTTAATTTTCCTCTCTATTCAACAGCTGAGGAGCAAGAGCATGTGGACCAAAGTGTAAATAACCTAATCCAGACCTTATGCCAGAAAATAAACAAATAAGAAAACTGGATTTTGTGAAAATGAGTGAAAAATATAGCAAGGCAAAGGGAAACCAACCATAAGGCCTGCGACCATACAAACCCCACCTACTGTTTCCGATTACTTACCTTCCCATGTACACCATGTTTACAAACTTGAAAAAAGTCGGACACGCAATGTGCAATCGGACGGATCTTTGTTGGATTTCTGGATTGACGTACGCGGCGAATGTGGGTGCCCATATGCCTTCCGCCTGAGGAAAGTCGTCCCCCAAGTGTTACATGCATCGCTTCTCTGGAGGATTGAGCTGGGTTATGAGACGGCCTAATTACATTGCAGAATGCATTAAGGTGAACTCTGGTTCTTTAAGATTTAGGGATCAACTTGAATTACCCGTCGGCAGAACCCGTTTCCCTTATTTTCCTTTAAAGAACGTGAGATAAAAGTGGGGACTCACATCTCCGGAAAATCTCTCGATGAATCTGACCGTAACACGGCCGACGCCGACAGTTTCTTTCTCTTCCAGCTGGATTTCTGCCCTCCTTCCTCTCACTTCACGCTCCATGGCCATCTTCTTTGCCATCTTTCTGTGTTCTCGAGAGTGTTAAACAAGATGGCTTTGTCTTCCAAAACAGAAGTGAAGACTTTTCAGCGAATTATACCTCCTAAGAATGTAAGACGAGTGGATGGGCCCTATGCCACCAAAGTACTGATGTGGTTGGAAAACCATTCTTCTACCTTCTCCGTCGGACGAGCATGAATATTTGAAGAGGACGAAGACGACTCCCTTGGGGGTCCGCAATACTTACTTTCCGTGTCGGTCCACAAGAAATAAAATTTCTCCTCGTTATAGGTACCTTCGCCCGCATACTCAATAAGGGTTAATATTGATTGTGGGTCACTCATGCAATATTAATTGAAGGAGAAGGAATCGTTTACGAGGCACCGTGAATTTGGGCAGGGCGCGGTTCCATTCCTTGGTTTTCCATGGCTAGATAAAGTCTTTAAATGTAGCGCCGTATCTTTCGCGTTAGCTCATTAAATGTGTTGATAGCACACTGTCCATAGCCGTAGTTTCACTCTGCCTTGCCAAGTTTCAGCGGAGGAAGAATCAGAATTGAAACCGCTCCTGCAGAGGAAAATTTGAACTTGTTTTATTGAAGAAGACAACCAAAACGTGAATTCTTAGATTTAAGGGGCCGAACGCAGGAGTTTCTTGAGAAGTTTCGATTTCCAACACAACACAGCATGCAATGAGCGCCTCATGCCTCGACGAAAATGAAAAAAGAAACTCTAATGCATCAAGAGCTGCTTTGGATGCATGAAGACGTCCTCCAGCGCTTTCAATAAAGAAACTTTCTCACCACGAATCGCCTCACACCAACCAGAACCCCACCTGTCAGGGGAGCGGAGGATTCCCTTCTCGGGAATCCTCCGCCCGATGGCCCCTGCGAAGTGACGGGGTTGTTCCCAACGAAATGTTGGGGTTCCCTCTTCCACACTTCCCATATTATTGGAAAGAATAATGAGACAGGAAATCTTATGATGTCCAGTTGGATATAGTTAGAATATTTCTTTCAAACCATGTTTCTTTTAGGGGTTATGGAAGCTTCGAATAGCAATACTTGCGTAGGGAGAAATTGATGAGTATCTTTGTAATTTACTGAAGAGTTCCAGTTCCTTGAAAGCCCGGTGAAACGCCCAGGCAACTTCTTGTTTGCTTGCGCAAGGGATACAAAAAGTTTTTTTGCCCTCGATCAGCATGGTAATTACTCATCATGGAAGGTCTTGGGATGCTGCTGGTCGCATTGATCCTGAGTCGTATTGGTTCGTGGATGTACCAATGGGATAAATGAAGATTCTGCTTAACCTGAATGGGAACATTATTGATATTTTTGTTCCGTGTTGCAATTGTGTGACGCCATGCGAATGCATGAAAGGCGTTATCATTGGGTGGGAAAAATAAAGATTCGTTGGACCATCATACCGCATGGGAAGCTGACTGAAAAATTGAGGAGTTGGAAAATGCAACGTTCTTCTCCTCGAATCTTAGAATTACGGTGCAGATCCAGGTATTTCCGGATTCGTGCGACTTACAGTTTGAATGCCTTTCATAAGAGTCGGCCAGGATGGGAGTCTGCTTGAGGCATTTCGTGTGGGCATGGAACTGTGCCCAAGAAGAAGAATCAAGCACGGCAGATAATGAGGCGAATATAAATCCTTGACTCGGGATGGAAATGAATCGGAGGGATCCCAAAAACCCGTTTCGTGCTCGACGCTTTAAAAAAACTCGCTGCGGATGGTTTTTTTTATCTTCCAATAATGTTTCAAACTTCTCTCATTAGAAACGCCAGGAAATGTCTTTTTTCCTGGAAGTTTCATGCACCAAGGTGGTCTGAGATAAGTTGACAGTAGTTGAAAGTGGAGTCATGAAAGAAAACTTTTCCCGGCAATATTGGGGACGTTTACGAGAAGTTTGAAATGTTTCAGACTGAATGTGTGCGGAGCCAAAGGCAGAAAATCCCACCCGAGGAACATTTTCTTTTTTTTTCATGCTGGAAGGAAAAAACGTGAAATGGTGGTGCGCTTTGCTGGGAAAAGGGTGAATTGACAGGAACAAATGTGTTCCTCGAGGAGGCATTTCTGTGTACCTGCCCTAGTAGCGGCCTTTGTTGACCTTCCCATTGCTTGGCATATTATTAAATATACATTATTATTATTAATATTAAATACCGTCTGATGTCCGACACCGAGTCCCCTTTCGTGTATTCGCGTTAATCGATGTAATTGCTAGAGCGGAGCTCTTCGACGTCAAGAGACTCATATGTAGGGGGGGGGGGGGGGCGGAGAGTCTTGAAATGTGAACAAACGGATTACAGTCATTTCCTTACGAAATCCAATCGGCTATTATTGACAAAGTCGTTCTTCCAGACCCAACCAAAGCAATAACAACCAAGGACTCTTTTTTGGACGCCAAATTCCGTTTTTACAGCAGAACTTCTCTCCTTTTGCCTGTCGCATTTCAAGAACTCTTTCCAGCTCAACCACAGTCTTCTCGTCCACCACTGGATTTCTCTTCCACCAAGTTCTCGAAGTCCATAATTCAATTAAGGTATTTCTCTCGATTCCGCAGAACTAATCATAGCAACATCACCGCCTACCACTGCCAGAAGTTTCAGTATTTCCTCAGTACTTCCTCCCCGACGATATCGCTACGTACCCCGACGATTCCACCGCTCGACACCTCGTCGATGTCCTTGGATCTGATGAACATCTGGGAAAAATGGATCTTCGCCAAAGGGGAATACGACTACGATATAGGTTTTTTTTTTCTGATGACGTAAAAGAGTAATGGCTTATCCCAACGCCAACTTAACAAGTTAGAATTACCTGAAAGAACTTAATAGATTCTCTTCTGTAGATGGGGAAATTACCATCGGCAACAAAACAATCAAGGAGAATGACTTCCTCAACTTTGTGCTTTTTGCCTTTTTATTTTACACGTTGAGAGACTTCCGGAGATGCTTGAACTTGGAAGATGCTGCTGGCAGCATCTCAGAGTCCATACAATCGTTGCACCTTCAATAATGCACCTTGTGACATGAAGTATGCGCATCTCCGCCTGGTTTAGGAAATATTCATGTCAGAATTTCACCTGTCGAGATCGTATGACGTAAGGTCCACCGTAGTTTTATTCAACATTTTGAATTGGGCAAAAAAAAAGTTGGGCAGGGCGTGCTTCCTATCAATGGTTTCCCATGATTACGTAAAGGCTTTAAATTTAGCGCTGTGTCTTGTGCGGTTGCTTATTAAATAGGGTGCGTGGAACGTATTCCTTATCTGTAGTTGCGCCCTACTTTGCCAATTTTCATCGGTGGAAAAATCAGAATTGAAATCGCACCTACAGAGAAAATTTTGAATTTTTTTTTTTATTGCAAACCGTGTATGCCTAGATTTAGGTGGCTCGACGCAGGAGTTGAATGAGAAGTTTCGATTTCCAATGCAGCTCAGCAAGCAATATTTCCCCCACCCCAAAAGTGATAAAAAAAAACGAGGACCATAAGCGGAATGTGAGATGGCAATTAGTCGGGTAAATTTGGAACCTTAACGCTGGATGGAAATATACCGGGTGGCCCCAAAAAGCCTCTCGTGTTTGACGCTTTGCAAAACTCGATGTGGAGGAAATCCCTCAGGAAGATCGAGTGTAACTGTCGCTAAATCCACAAAAGTGTTCCTCGAGGAGGCGTTTCTGTGTACCAGCGATTGCAACTCCCTTTGTCAACCTTCCCATCGCGTGGCATATTAAATGTTGTGTGTAACCGTACACCGTGTCTCATTTCGTGCATTCGGGTTCATCGATACAATTGCACAGGCGGTGCTCTCGGGCGTCATGAGAGTCGTAGGTGGTGAGGGGGGCAAAGGGGGCAAAGGGGTCTTGGAATGCGAAATCGTGGTTCTTACTTTTTTTGACGGCTGCGTTAATAGTCCGTAAGTACCGTACTTGGTAGACTGATTTGTACTTCAACATCAAGTACGATTCATGTACGATCCGGGCCATCCTTGTGGAAACTTTGAAAATTATTTGAGAAAGCGGCATCAAGAGTCATGTTGAATGGATGAAAGAGGTGAACGGTGGCGCATGGAAACGTAATGCGATAATTATGTCACTGCAAGGGTATATGCAACACGAAGTGAACACATTTGATTCCAGTGAATGGCCAGTGAATGGAGCCTGTGAATGGAGCCTGTGAATGGAGCCTGTGAATGGAGCCTGTGAATGGAGCCTGTGGAAGAGCTCGAAGAGGAGGTCTTTTGCCCGGATATGGATGTCGTTCTGCGAATGGTTCGTGAAACGCGAAATGGGTCTCACGTCGGTCAAGCGTTGCACGTTCTCAGGGAAATTGTTCAGGAAATTTTGAATTGGCCTGCCGTATGCATAACGTTATACGTACGTTCTCGACAGATGTCTGAAGGTCATGCATTCTCCCCTATAGGCCTTTTTTGCCTTGTTGGAGATGAATTTGGTCTTGTAAAAAAAAAGTTTTGCCTTGGCGCGACCGGAAGGCTTTTTTTTTGGTTAGGCCAAGGTCTATCGGTGAGTCCGGAGATAGGGGGTGGGGTGGGGGTGGTGTTGAAGAAAGGTTTGTAATTTGGTTTTCACAATATTTCATTCAACGTTGATTTAACCTCATCCGCATAGAGACTTTCCCCTGGTTGGGAAGGGAAGAGGCAAGAATTCAATATAAAGATAGTTTAATTTCGCTCGTCAGAACAGATCTGGAGGTAACCAAGAATAAGAGCGCATATTTGGATCCATTCACTTCCCTTCGCTGTACCATGCGGAACATCCCTCTTCGACTTGGGTTCAATCGAGAAAATCATGTCTTACCTAATAACTGCTTTAGGCGTAAAAGCTAGGTCAACCAGCAGCAGTATTGCACTGACTATGAACAAATGCGCTTAATTGCGCCTAATAAGCCCATTAACACCATGATATATATTAAGATAAGTTAAAGGACCAAGTAAGGATCTGCCATTCAGGAGCAGCTTAAAGATGGAATGTTCTCAAAATGGATAATAAGGCTGGCACCAAATTACGACTTGAGGCATGTATAATTTTTTCCCCCACAGATGTTATTTGGATAAATAAAACCTCTTAAGCAGGGGGAAGACGGTTCCGAGCATTCCGCCCAATGCCAAGAGGAGGCGAATCAACCGTCCCTTTCCCTCCACTCATCCCAAAATAAAGAAACCTCTAATGGATCGGGAGTTGCTTTGGATGCAGCAAGGCGCTCTCGAGCGATTTCAATGAAGGCGATTTCTCCTCACTCATTGCCGCTCGCCAACCAGAACCGCTCCTGCCTAGTCGATGGCTTGCAGTCCTGGAGCTTCTCATCTTTCCTTTGGTCGCATCAGCGAGGACACATCCCAAGACCCGCACGGCTACGCAGTCTTGAGGAAGAAAAGGCAAACGAGAAAAGTCGCCGTTTCCAATCTGGCTATTGACAGATCCATTAAAATATTTGCATTCGCGAGGGTAAGCAGCAAATCAGGAAGCTTAATTTTTTTTGCAAAAGGAGTTCTCCGAGAGATTTCAGGGGAATAAGTCAACAAACCCGCTCCTCGGGAAAATTTTCACATTCGTGGTAGACTTTTGAAAAGAGGTACTGTAAAAAAAAAGTAATATTTTTCGATGACGCCCAATCGCCCCAAAATCCTCAGGCACTCACTGATTATTTTTTCTTTGATTTTGTCCACAGCTGTTGCTTCCTTGAGGCAACCACCCCCACCCCCGAGATTCTTTTAGGAAGGGATTGATTCTCCCTTTGATTTACCTAAGGAAGACCTCCAAGTTTGGTACAGATGTGTCGCAAGCGATGCATTACGTAATTTAACATTAGCAAACGTTTTGGTTGTTCCCAACAAGAAGGACGGGGCACGAGTCCTTACTGCATCAAACCTCTAGTGTTCGAACTGAATCGTGAAAGACGAATTGTTTCCCACAAGAA